TTTCATCAGTCTTCCAGTCTTATTGAACATAGCATTAGAAGTGTTAGAGCAAGTAGGCAAAAGGAAGAAACAAAAGATGTTTGAAGTAGAAAGGAGAAAGAGGAAAGCTAAGTAATCCCTGTTCACAGAACACACACATAAATATATGACTCCACCAACAAAAACAGTTAAAATTGATATTTTTAAAAAATCAGTAAAATTTCAGAACACAAAATCAACACATAAAAAATAGAATTTTTATATATCAATAACATATTTGAGGAAATAAATTAAAAATGCTATCATACAAAGCCCAGAAAAATAAAATATCAAGAAATGGAGTTAACCAAGGAAGTGAAAGATCTGTACCTTGAAAAATATAAAACACTTATGAAAGAAATCGAAGAGCACACATACAAAAAAACGTGAAGACATCCTATGTTCATAGAATGAATATTGTTAAAATGTTAATATTTTCCAAAGTAATTTAGAAAGTCAGTGTAATCCCCATCAAAATACCAAGGATATTATTCTTTATAATCACAAAAATTGATATAGAACTACACAAGATCTAGAATAAACAAAGCAATCCTGAGGAAAAAGAGCAAGGAAGGAAGCATTACAATACCTGACTTCAAAACAGCCTACATAGATACAATAAGCAAAACAGTGTGATACTGCCATAAAAACAGACACATATACCCATGGAACAGAGTAGAGAATCAAGAAATATGACTATGTACTTACAGTCAACTCATTCTCAACAAAGGTGCCAAAAACACACATCAGAGAAGGGACAATCTCTTTAGTAAATGGTGCTGGGAAAACAAGATGTACATATGCAGAGGAAAGAAATTAGACCCTACCTCTCACCATATGCAAGAATCAACTTAAAAGGAGCTTTAAAAAGGACCTGAGTGTGAAACCTGAAATTGAAACAGCTAAAAAAAAAAAATAGGAAAAACACTTCAGAACCCTATTAGAGGCAAAGATTTTTTTTTTATGTCTCCAAAAGCACAGGCAACAAGAACAAAATTAGACAAATGGTATTATATCAAACCAAGAAGTTTCTACACAGCAAAGGTAACAATATAAAGGAAGAGACAAACTACAGAGTGGGAGGAAATATTTGCAAGCTATCCATCTGGCAAAGGATTAATATTCAGAATATATAAGGAAACCAAAACAACAGCCAAAAGAAAAAAAAATCAGGTTAAAAAGTGTGTAAAAGACTTGCATAGACATTTCCCAAGAGAAGATATACAAATGACCAACAAGTTTATGAAAAAATGTTCTAGTGTGCTAATTACCAGGAAAATGTAAGTCAAAACCACAAGGGGACTGGGGATTTAGCTCAGTGGTTCTGCCACCTGCCTCGTAAGCGCAAGATCTCGAGTTCAATCCCCAGTACAAAAAAAAAAAAAAAAAAATCCACCCTGAGATACTATCTTACTTACAGTTAGGATGGCTATTATTAAAACACAAAAAATAACAAACTCTGGTGATGACACGGAGAAAAGAAAACTCTCACACATTGTTAGTTGGAATGTAAATTAGTATAGCCACTATAGGAAAGAGCATGGAGGTTCCTCAAACAACAAGAAATAGAACTACCACACAAGCCAACAATCCTATTACTGGGTATGTACACAAAAGCAATGAAAACACTGTATCAAAAGAGACACTTGTACAACTATGTGTATTGCAACACTATTCACAAATAGTCAAGGTAGGAAATCAGTTGAGATTTCCATCAATGGGGGAATGGGTTTTTAAAATGTGATACATATACACAATAGAATATTACTTAGTCATAAAAGGATGAAATCCTGTCATTTGTGCCAACATGGATGCAACTAGAGGACACTATGCAAGTGAAATAAGCCAGGCACAGAAAGACAAATGCCACATGTTCTCATTCATTTGTGGAAAAAAAAAAAATGTGATCATCTTAAGGAAAAGTGGTCACTAGAGGCTAGGAAGAGCGGGAGGGAAGAGAGATAAAAAGAGGTTGTGTAACATACCAAAATACAGCCTGATAAGTGAAATTAATTCTAATGTTCTATAGCACATCAAGGTAACTAAAGTCTAAAACAATGTATTATAAATTTTTAAATAATTAGAGAAGGTTCTCAACACATGGAAATGGCAATATTTGAGAAGATGAAAATACTAATTACTCTGATTTGATTATTATATTTGTATACATTTATCAAATTTTTACACTGTAACCCATATAAATGTACACATTTTATGTCAATTAAACATAAAAATTAAATGAAAACTTTGTCTATAAAAAGCAAAAGATTTGAACACAGAGTATAAAAGAAATTATATAAATGATCACTACGTAAGTAAAAATATGCTCCACATAATAGCTAGACAATAAAAATTAAATCTTCCCTCTTGGAGGAAGAATAAAAACATCAAATATTGATAGGGGTGTGGAGTAAATAGAATACTCATATGCTGTTGGTGGGAGCATATACAATCATTGTGGAAAAACATCTGACAATTTCTTTTAAAACTAAAGTAACATTACTCTACTGCCTAGCAGTTTTACCCTTATTATCTACAAAAAAGAAATGAAAATAAAAGCTCACAAAAAGACCTGTTCACAGATATTTATTTATAACAGTTTATTCATGACAGCTAGTACAACTGAAAAATTGGTTACTATAATGGAATGCTACTCAGTAATAAAAAAGGAAGGAACAATTTCTACATACAACACTGTGGAGAGATCTCAAAAATACTGAGTGTAAAGAAGCCTTAGATAGGGGCCGGGGATTTAGCTCAGTGGTTCCGGCGCCTGCCTCGAAAGTGCAAGGACCCGAGTTCGATCCCCGGTACCAAAAAAAAAAGAAAAGAAGAGGAAGAAGCCTTAGATAAAAAGAATCAATATAGAGGCTGGGGATTTAGCTCAGTGGTTCCAGAGCCTGCTTTGCAAGAGCAAGGTCCCAAGTTAGATCCCCGGTACCAAAAAAAAAAAGAACCAATATAGCATGAAGTCCTGGAACACACATAACTAAACTATGATGAGGGGAAAAAAAGTCAGAATAATGGTTGCCTCTTCAAAGGAGTTGGCAGGGACAGGGTTTTTTTTTTTGTTTTTTGTTACCCGGGATCAAACTCTGAACCTTCCGCTTGCAAGGCTGGCAAAGGCACCACTGAGCTAAATCCCCGGCCCGGCAGGGACAGTTATTGACTGTAAAGAACTACTAAGAGGACTGTTAATGGACTAAATGTTGTGTCCCCTCAAAATTCACATGTTGAAATCTTAACCCTCAATGTGATGTTATAAGAAGGTGAGACCTTTCAGAATTAATTAGGCCATGACAGTGTGGTCCTTATGAATGGGATTTGTGCCCTCATATCAGGAACCTTCTATGTTTAGATTTTAAAAATGTCCCCTTAAAGTCTCACGTGTTCAGAAGTTATGCATTTGGAAGGTAATTGGATCGTGGGGCTAGGCTAATCAGTGCATTAATCCATTCAGGAGTTTGTGTATTGTTAGGAGGTGGGGCATGGTTGAAGGGGTGGCTCACTAAAAGTGTGACCTACAAGGGTGTATTCTTGTTTCTGGCTCCTCCTTTATCTCTCTGCTTCCTGGTCATCATGTGTTGAACAGCTTTCCTCTGCCATGCTCTTTCATCATGCCATTTCTGCCTTGGAGCCAGTCAACCATGGTGTGATCCTTCTGAAATGAACTGAATTCTCTGAGATCATAAGCCAAAATAAACTTCTCTTAGTTTAACTTTTGGTGCTGGGTCTTTTGTCCCACCTACTAGAAACTGACTAATACAGTGCCCAAACAGGTCTTTCCTCTCTTCCTGCCAAATGAGAATACAATGAGAAAAGGTTAATTCTACAGTCCAGGAAAGGGCCCTCATCAGAAGTCTCTGTATTTGCCAGCCACACTTGCACCCTGATCTCAAATTGCTACCCTCTAGAACTATGAGAAATAAGTTTCTGTTGTTTAAAACCCACAATTTATAATAATTGTTTATAGCAGGTTAAGCTGACAAGGACTATGATAATTTTGGAGGTGATGGTAATGTTCTTTATTTCAATAGGGCTTTACTGGTGTATGCATTTGTCAAAATTCAGGGAAAATGCACTTAAGGTTTGTGCATTTCTTTGTATGTGCTCTTACCTCAAAAGAAAAAAGTAAACAAGGTTAATAGGATGCAAACTGATATATTTAGAAGAAAGTATTAATAACTGCAATTTACTTTTAAATTATTAAAAATATGGATTAATAAATCTATAGAGAAGAACAGACATGTATAAAGTATAATAAAATGCTAATTGTAGAATATTGGTAGCAGACACACAGTTGTCATTTATATTTTTTTAAACATTGCTCTGTGTTAGATAATTTTTAAAGTAAGAGATTAGAAAAACAAAAATCAATAAATGCTTTGTACAAGCACATTTAGTTAAAAAAAATTTCAACAAAATTTAGTTTTCATTTTGGGAGTGAAAAAATCACTTACAGAACAATTAGTATTCAATACATGCTCAAATTAAAGACCAAGAATGTTTCTTAAATCAAAGAAAGAATAATCATCTGTGGCGAGATCTCTGGCCTTTGACTAAGAAAGAATTCAAAATTCTCTTTTCTCTTTTGAGTTGATTTATATCAGTATACTTTGATTTAGGGTGTTAACTGCACATATTCAATGATTATAATGTAATTTACATTTCTCCCAAGGAAGTCTCAAGCAGAACTCTCAAATATTATATGGTTTTGATGTGGATATAGCCCTTCTAGGAATTTTGTACCTTGTTAAATAGAATTGGGTTTTTAAATAATCTGATAATTTGTAATGTATAAGCTTTATCACAAGGAAACTAAAATATGAGAACTTTATAATATACAAGCACTTTCTTGCTTTAATTTGCAGACTCTAATTTTATTATGTGCAGAAATATATGTTTGTGTTTGTATGTATTTATTTATCCTCTTATATTTACAAAGCTCTCAAGGATAAATGCTCTGCCAGGTTATACATTACCTCCAGTATAGGGTTTCCAGTTATAATATTTTCCTCGGAAAGGCATATTGTCAAAATCTGCACACTGTTTCTCTCGAAAATCTCGGGCACCCAAAGGACATGGCTAAAATAAAATGAAATAAAATAAATGGTACCATTGCTGTAAAATACCAAAACTAAGAGACAAATGTCCCTAAAATTAAAATTGCCTGAACTCCATCATATCAGTTCACTGTCTCACTCTGTCTATATTTCTGGCATTTGCTTTACTGTTTTATAATTGGTATTCACATTAAAATGTTTGAATTATAATCTTAGAAAAAATAACTACACTCCCTTGTTGCTTTACTATTTTGTGCGTGCCATGTTGTTTCTCCTCTGCAATGCCTGTTTGTCATCCCTGCCTTGGAGCCAGCCAATTATGGACTGAAACCTCTAGGAACTGTAAGCTAAATAAACCCCTTCCCCTCTAACTTTGGGTGTCAGGTAAGAGTAACTAACATAGAAATTCGGTACCAGAGAAGTGAGCTCATTACTGTTACATTACCTGGACATGTGGCTCAATAGCCTTTGGAACTGACTTGTGGGAAGGGAAAGAGAAAAGATTCAGAGATTTCACCTACAGAAGCAGAGCTGAATGACTTAGACTGTTCTGTAGGGGAGATTCTGGTCAGAGCTCAGAAGTGGCTTGGGAGGTTTCTGCTGGGAAGAACTGCACTGGCTGCTGGACTGCAGATGATTTGTGTTATGGCTTGGCAGAAAGTTTGTCTGCATTTTGTTCATGTCCAGAGACTTTGCCTGAGACTGAGATTAGGGGTGGTAAACTAATTAATTTTGCAGAAGAAATTTCAAGGCAGTTGAATATTGAGGCAGTGGCATGGCTACTGTTGGGGGCTTTTAGCCAGATCTATGTTGAGAATCAAGAGCAAAGAGCCCAGTAGAATGATTTAAAATGTCTTGAGTTTGGCCAGAAAGGAAGCTCCATTAAAGCTGTGGACTGAAAAGATAGAGCAGAGGAGATCTTGACTGCTGAGAAGGAACAGAAGCATAGAAAAGATGTCCTGAGGGCATCACAAGAAGCAGCAGGACTCCATCCTTTGCACTCTCAGAGTTGTAAAGGTGAAAGATTTTGCTTTGAGAATAAAGCCCCAGAGCACCATGTTCCAGAATGGTGGCAGCCTAGGGAAGCTGTTCCTAGGGATTTAGTTCATAGGCACTGGACCCCTACAACCAAGAGAGAAGGAAGCCTGGCTACAGCTCCAGCTGACAGCAGACATTGGTATCATCCACATGGTGCTGGTTTTAGGCACATGCAGAATCCAAGAGTTGTGGGGTCAGAAGGCTTCCACCCAAATTTCAGAAAAAGGCCTGGGAGGCCAGGCTGTGTGCCCCTAAGAGGGCACTCTGTGAAGCTGTGAGTGTGAAGCCAAAGGTGCACTGGAGACCCCAGAAGTTTGGAGAAGCCAGGAGCATCAGTCATCTGAGGAAAACTGCAAGGAGGAAGCAGAGCCAGCCCAAGAGAGAAATCATGGGAGCTACAACCACCTGTAGTGCCTTAGGGGCAGATCCACCCAAGCCCTTTGGCAGTTATGGCTTGCCACAAGACTGCCTCAGATGCTGGAAGTGAAATTGTGGGATTTTATGTTTGCCCTGCTGGATTTTGGACTTGCTTTGGTCCCATTCCTTTGTATCTTCCTGTTTGTAACTTTTGGAATGGAAATGTTTATCTTGTGCTATTGAATGTTGGAACTGTTTAAATTTATTTTCTTTTGTACAGGGACTTGCAGCTAAGAGTTTGCCTTAAGTCTCAGAGGAGACTTTGGATTTGAACTTTTCAGCAATGCTTAAACTGTTAGGATTTTGGCAACTCTTAGAGATGGACTAAATGTCTTTTATATAAGGGAATGTAAATGAGTGTTTGGGTTGGGGACCAGAGGCAGAATGTTGTGGTTTGGGTCTAAATGCCCCCCGCCCCACCCCCCAAGCCTCATTCAGAGGTAGCTGAATCTGGAATGTGTCATGCTGGGATTAAGGGCATGTGATTGCTAAACCATTACACATGAGAGAGTGGTTTAGCCCCACCCTAATCCCAGTAGTCTGGATGGGATAAAAGAGGCAGAAAGATGCAGTGAAGCTGTCCCTTGTTGCTTTGCTATTTTGTGTGTTCTGTGTTGCTTCTCCTCTGCGATACCTGTTTGTCCTCCCTGCCTTGGAGCTTGTTATGGACTGAAACCTCTAGGAACTGTAAGCTAAATAAACCCCTTCCCCTCTAAAAGAAAGAAAGAAAGAAGGAAAGAAAGAAAGAAAGAAAGAAAGAAAGAAAGAAAGAAAGAAAGAAGGAAAGAAAGAAAGAAAGAAAGAAAGAAAGAAAGAAAGAAAGAAAGAAAGAAAGAAAGAAAGAGAGAGAGAGAGAGAAGAACTACAGTCATTTAAATAAAGCTAAGTGTTAGGCAGTTTTCATATAACTTTGCACTTGGATACATGTCACAGTCCACTTTGTAATCAGTCCATCAGGTTCTCCTTATGAACACATACAGAAACTAGACAAAGAGACCAAAACACAAAATCCTTTTTGTTAACAATATTTGAGGTTGAGGATCCATAGGTACTCCCAGATCTTTATTTTAAGGATCCAGTGGCATGTTTTTAACACAACATTCAGCACTATAAATTGTGTCTTAGACCCCTACTATCATAGCTTTTTATTGCCAAAAACTATAAATGTGGAATGAACTGGATAGAATGTTAGGCTGCAAGTATAAGCGCCTTCAAATTCAAGGAATACAGACTTTTGAAATTTACATTTTATGAAACAACATACTAAATTGGTACAAAATATTTACATATGTTGCTGGTGTGTCTGATCTTGTGGCTTGCCTGAGCCACACTGAGTGAAGAAGAATTTCTGGAGCCACATATGAAATATGCAATATAGTTAATATATGTAAGTAATAATTTTTAATATTTTTTATTATAACAGTAAAAAAATAGAGCAAGTAGTCTATGGGCCATGAGTTGGACACACCTAAGTAGAAGACAGGAAGCATGTTGACAGGGTGAAGAAATCATTATTGGCTTATAAAAATTTGGAATGCTTCTTCTAACTGAAATTTTCAAAAAGAAAAATCTTATCAATCTAGCTAGGTATAAATTCCAAATACCACAGGGTCACCTCTAAGTATTCAAAGAAATAAAAGTATAACATCTCATAGTATTTGAGCAATATGACTTAATTTGACTTATGCTTCAGAGTTCTGCCACTGTAGCACTTAAAAAACAAAATTACTGATTTTAAAAAACTGAGAGAAAACATTCCCCTTTTATATGGAGCAAAATATGTTCTTAGATAAAATTCTTAAATGTGAATAACAAGTTTGTTATAAGCATCCTCATAAATCATCTTGAGGACTCTTTCCCTATCTTCCCTTGGATCTTTACACTTGCTCTGTGGTTTTCTGAAATCAGTACAATTGTAAATGGTTACTGTCAAACATGTGCAGTAACAACAGACTACAATGTGCAAATATTTCCATGGCCATCATTACTTTCCATATACTATGGTTCAAAATTTTACTTTGTTAAGTCCAAAGCTGCCGATTTTGAAAATAGTAGCAGCAGGCCTATACTCTCTTAAGGGCCCTGAATTTTAAAGTATTTTCAGATCATTAAAAGTTATTCCCAATGCCAAACTTAATGATTCTTCTCAAATTACTCTTTTTGTTGCCTTTAATAGAAGTAAAAATAACTATTTACCATAAACTTTATGGTAGATCATGATGGAAGAATATACTTTCAAGGTCTTTTGATTCATGTTCTGTTAATCTTTGAAAGGTTGTAGATTAAAGAAATGTTTTTCTTTTCTAGATGTTTTCAGGAAATTCTACATAAGAACTAAAACTTTCAGTGGCTTTGCCATGCAGAATGATTACTTGTAAAGCAAAATCAACTTTTAAAAATACAAGCAATTTAAACTCTAAGTACAAGTTTTTACCTAATCCTTAAGCATTTGTAAAGCACCACCCACCTAAGAGTTTATCCAAGCACACCTTTCAATCTAGTTGGAGAAACAAGATGCAAGTATAAAAACTACAGAACTATTTCAGACAATATGTAGAGAGAATATGATAACATTTTACAGGTTGTCTATAGGTGTTGCATATAGGTAAAAAAAAATCAATGTGTCATGTAACTAACTCGGGAAATACTGATTGAGAAAGAAAATCTTGAGAATGTTCCAGAGTTTTCCAGGAATTGAGCTAGTTAAGAAAAGAAAAGGATTTGGGAAGAGTGGAGCATGAAGTAAAGCTAATGGAGACAGAAAGGAAAAGAGCATATGCTAAGGTTGGAAAAGGATCATCTTATTTGGAAGAGAGGTACTGTATAGAAGATAAGAAATTATATTTCACATATAAACACTCATGTAAGAAAATTCTGAGTTAACAAATTAATGCAATATGAGGGCCATTCACTAAAAGCAAACAAAAATGCTATTTTTATTATCTCCTAGTGATTCTCCTAAGTAGAAGTAAAAATTTGAATAAGAGGATATTATTAGGAAAGAAGGGAATGGAATTAATATGAGAAAATGAAACAATGGAAACAAAGTCTTTGTAATAAGGAGGGATGGAGGGGTTGATGTGAGGGACAGGGGAATGGGGAAAAAATAAGATCCAAGAGAGATTATGTAAAGGTGCAAATTTCCAATGATGAATGTCATTATATTGTATACCTAAAATGTACAAATAAAATTAATTTTAAAAAGAGGATATTATTGCTTAATGAAATTTTTGATCTACTCATTTCTTGTGATAATCGCTCCAAGGGTCAGTATGATAAAAAATTAACAATAACAACAACTATCTAATATTTACTACTTACCTACTCTGAGGCACATTGTTCAAAGGTCTATAGATGTATTATCAATTTAATTCCTCTAGACACTCTAATGAGATAGTTATAATTAATAACCTTGATTTATAATAAACTAGAATACAGAAAGGTAGCTTAATGATAATTTCAAAGTGTTAGAACACCTCCTTCATCTGAACAGAAACATTTTCTGAACACTCTCTTATACCATAATGAGAGCATAAGGTTTACTATGTAAATGAATGGTCATGTCTG